AAGAGTGGCTCCCCTGCCCTTGTCCTTCCGGTGTTGCCTTCTGTCCTCTTTTCCCTATTAAAGTGGGCACTGCAGCTTCAGAGGTCCAAGCTTTTGCTATTTTAGGTGCCCTAATAAAACCACAGAGTCACACAGAGTTGGAAGGGGCCACAGAGGCCATCTAGTCCAACCCCCTGCTCAATGCAGGATCGGCCTAGTCCAGTGGTGGCGAACCTCTGGCACGGGTGCCAGAGGTGGCACCCAGAGCCCTCTCTGCGGGCACACGTGCCATCGCCCCAGCCAGGCCCAGACCATCGTTAAAGTGTCGAATTCTCTGCCAAATAATTTTAAGTCAATGAAAGCCCTTGGGATTGCTTTCCTTACTTTGTTTGGATCATCTTAAGTTAATGTATGAATTGTTTTTTCTAAAGCAAAACCTCAGTATTCAGGTTAAATGGCCGTGTTGGTACTTTGCGATAAATAAGTGGGTTTTGGGTCGCAGTTTGGGCACTCAGTCTCTAAAAGGTTCGCCATCACTGCCCTAGAGCATCCCTGACAAGGGTTTGTCCAGCCACCGCTGGAAGACTGCCAGGGAGGAGGGAGCTCAACCACCTCCCGAGGCAGCCGATTCCACTGTGGCACGACTCTGACTGTCAGAAAGTTTTTCCTAAGATCCAGCTGGTACCTTCCAGCCCATAATTTCAACCCATTTGTGCGAGTCCTCTCCTCTGCTGCCAACAGGAACAGCTCCCTGCCAGTCTGGTGTCGTGGTTAAGTGTGCGGACTGTAATCTGGGAGAACTGGGTTTGATTCCCCACTTCTCCACTTCCCCCTGCTGGATGACATTGGGCAAGCCGTAATTCTGACAAGAGCTGTCCTTGAAAAAGAGCCGTTTCTGTCAAGAGTTCTCTCAGCCCCACCCACCTCACAGGGTGTCTGTTGTGGGGAGGGGGAGGGAAAGGAGTTTGTAAGCCGCTCTGAGACTCCAAGTGAAGGACGGGGTATAAATCCAATCTCTTCTTCTTCTTCTTCTTCTCCTCGGAGTGGCAGCCCTTCACATACTTCAAGAGACCCATCCTGTCACCCCTCAACCTCCTCTTCTCCAGACTGAACATTCCCAAGTCCCTCAGCCTTTCCTCAGAGGGCTTGGTCTCCAGCCCTGCAATCATCTTCATCGCTCTCCTCTGCACCTGCAGAAGATATAATAATATAATAATGCTGGCCAGGGCTTTTTTTGTAGGAAAAGCCCAGCAGGAACTCATTAGCATAATAGGCCACACCCAACAGCAGAAACTCATTAGCCTGTTAGGCTACAC